AAAAAAAATTGCGACATAATTCGAGTTACGCATGATACAGTACAGTATGGTTATTAGCAATAATAATCGTTTTGTAATTGTGTGATGTTATCCATTTGTCGCTAATATCGGCGAGAAACCGGTAATACACTTCAGTTAGGATCTTTTCTTAAAATAGGTTCGCCAGAATATCACACTCAACAGTGCTAAGCACAATAAGTGTCCGGTAGGATTCACGTGACTTTGCATGAATCGTTCCGACCGCATCCTCATTCTAAATCCTTCCCAACCCGACGCTTGACAACACTCTGGACCCTGCGTACAGACATAACCTTCTCCACTCACGTTCCACCTGTTAGCCAGAGCCCATCTCAAAGGGAGATGACTTCGGTGGATGAGGCTACCAGCAAAATTTTAATTCTGGAATTCTTCCTTGGCAAAAGAATGAGGTACATGTACACACATCTCCGGAACCACCTAAACTCCTTAAGATCAATTTGTCAAGGGAGATGTCGTTCAACAACGCGATCCGCCATTAAGCGCTTGATTTGATTTACCAGCTTTTCGTAGACAGTGTATATTGTGAGTACCATATGAGCTCTTTTCTATGTCCAAGTGTCTATAAAGCTCTGCATCTTCTTTCAGTTTCAGTTCTCTTCCAGGCTCCGAGGAAGGTGAAGGCACCGAAACGTCAGTCTAACTAAGCATTGTTACAGTCTCGGTTCCACAACTTAAAAAGTAAACCTCAAAGCTCTTTCCTGTGTCCGTTCTTCATTGGTAGAACATTAGCATCAATAATACGACATTACGCTCAGAAATACCCAGTGCCTTGCAAATGTCCACCCAGCTCATTATGAACGTTAGGAGCAGGATCCCCTTTCATGACGCCTTATTTGACAATTCCGCATTGAATTTAGCTGCTCTTGTTTATTTTCAGTTTTTGTATATCTTTCTTCGGGATGACGAAATTGTGCAGTTATGTAACTAACCGTACTGGCTTTCTATCAAAATAATGACGAAGAATCAGCACCTTTCCTTTTCCATCACTCCTTCAAATGTATGCGCAATTTTGAATGAAATGATCTATGAGGAACTATGAAGGATAGCGATACACTTACGTTCCTCATGCTTTCAAAGAGAAACGAGTCGGACTTAGATTTATGCAGTGACGGACGCATTTGTTTTGACCACTTGTACCATGTAGCTAATGTGCGCTATAATCGAAGCGTTAGTCTCAACGCCATAGGTACGACGATTATTCTTTTATTTGCTAGAAGAACTTCTTACCGGACAACTCAGTTGACCTGTCTGATAACAGCCCGTGCGATCGTTGAACACACAACAGCCTGTGACGTTTTCCTTTTTTCGTTCCTCACTGATTAATTTCCACAGCCCTGGCTCTCGCCGCATACATGGGGAATACTTCGCTCCTAGCCGTATCAAGTCAGCCTTGAATGACAACTGTAGTTAGATAGGAAGATTGAGGTGTAACATAACCAAAAGAAAACTTACAAATCTAGGTCCAAACCAGAGGTTTACAGGTTCGAAATAGCTGACTTGGCGCATAACCAGAGTTACATCAATGACCTCTTCTTTCATTTCCACTCTTTCCCAGCCTGCTGGTCCAATCCCGTAGAATAACAGAGAAATAATGCAAACAATTACTTGCACGGATGTCACCCACCAAGTGAACAGCGGTCTGAAAACTTCCATATTTAGTACTGCTACAAAAGTCATTAACGCCTCAGCAACTCTGGACTGATTCAACCGCTTCGGAAATTTACCTCTTTTCACTAGCTTAGCTAACGCTACTACTACACATACATAACAATGATCTATGCTTAGTTACAGGTTGTCTTGAACGGTACGACTAATAACTCCAGCGAAGGCAATTGTCATACGGCAGTATTTGTGTCATAACACTCAATGTCCATAGTAACTTTCATCTTCACTTCTTTCCACCCTTCTCGAGAACTCAAATGAGATTATGTTCAAGTAAGTTTAAAAACCAGTAATAAAAGGGTACTTGGATATCCTGCGCAGGAGGCTCCAAAAAATTTAGCTGGTTAGTGAAGAGGAAGATATGGGACGACCCCAGTTGACGGATAGCGGGTAAATCACTAACCGAAAGGCGGTACATGCCTCGAGCCAAAAGTGGAGTAGAGGTAGGGTCTCAAGAGAAGCTCCAAAGAAAAGCACAATGAATGGAAATGATATTGGCTATATCTTACACGATTACCTTTCATCTGATCCTGCTTCAATCACATCCCGCACTACAGGATCCAGAGCATCAATCTGGAAAGTTCTTCATGTCAATGATCAAAATAGAAGAGCGGTCGTCATTAAACCACCTTTTCTCTATGTAGGCTGCCGTCATAGAAGGAACTGAGCACGCCCAAACCTCTATATCGTCTGTATCGAGGTCTGAACAGTTTTCCGCTATGATGCCCGAGATTCTGAAACCATCAATCTAATAGCGTAGCTACTCTGGGTGTTGTAAAGGATACAGGAACTTCAAATTGCAATGCTCTTACGCGCAGCACTCCATCAAGAACACCACGTTTCGTTGTCTCCATCACAGAGGTTTGCTTCATCAGTGGATAACGATGCATGAATCGCGACTAAAACCCCGATTTCAACAAATAATCAAATTTTAACCAACAACTGGAGGACTTACAATAGATCTGACACCATCAAGGAGCGGACGATCAGGTTGATTCGCCTCATGGCGATCCTCGTTAGAGACTGGACCAAGGGGAACCGGTCCAATAGGACTGTGCAAGCGTCCATCACCCAGATCTCAAAAGGCTTTAGGTGCCAGAAACCAAGATAAAGTGAATATCATCCTACACCGAGACTCACCCAAACGAGATATTCCTCCAGGAAAACCTTCTGATATTTCTGAAATATTTTACTTTAGCCCAAGCACTTTGCAAGGTCACGAATTGTATAGTCGCAAAATGCAAAGAATGCGGACACTTCAAGTACCCTCCGCAGAGGCTTCTTGAAAAGGTCATTCGACCTGGAACCTTTTCATACAATTCCGCAAAACGGTAGATTACAATAGAATGCTTGCCAGGCGATAATTTTCACCATAGTGAAATCTTCCGGAATGTTTTGCGCAAGATTCCTATCGATTACTGCTGGTTTTGCTCTCGATAAATCTGCCACCAAAAGGACGGTGAGTTGTGGCAAACCTCTGGCCTCAAACGGTACTCAAACCCGTACTCGCGCTCTCCGGACACTGCTCTCTAGCCTCGTATAACTAAAACCCCGCCTGCCCCCGCCTTCTTGACGGCTTGTGTGTTTCTGCTTTCTTCTATTGTGCCCACACATTCCGCACAAAAATTTTTCCCTTCAATCTAAGCAGCCTACCAAGTGCTTCAAGTTGAGAATTCCTAAATTTTCGCATGCAAGAATTATATTGATGGAAGTGCGATGGCGCATACAGCAGAAATTCCGAGTGAAAACGGCTTCTCTAATTCACCAGCCTACACGCACCTGAGACTTCCCACTTCACTTTGGTCAACAGGTATCGTACCCCTTTCTCGCTCCTTGCAATAAACATTTCACTGAATCACCTTTCTTTTACCTTATACGAAAGGATAATGGAACCATGCCTTCCGCGCACAGCCAGCTTATCGAGGGTGGGGAATAAATATAGTGACATAATAATTTTGGTGAATCTTCAACATTTTCAATCGAAATTTGATATGAAAACTAGAACATTTAGACATATCATAGGAATGCATAATTTACAATGTTAATCACAATGGCCTCCTCTGGATATGATGACTTCCCCGAAACGAGCCAGATAGGGTTCGACTGGTGACGACATCCTGCGGAATTTCGTCCCATGCTTTTCGCATAGCAGCTTTCAACGATTCAATCGAACTGTTGTTTTTAGCGCAGACCATCTGCTCCAGGTCGACAAATTGAGTAGTCTATTGCGTTGAAATGAGCGGAATTACTGGGCCAGTCTTCTGCAGCTATGAAGTCGGCCAAACTGCGGCAGAACTACTTTTGCACCGAAGAACTACGCGCTGGCGCACCGTCTTGCTAGGAAATGCGATCGTTCCAGAAGTCAAGCTGATCACGAGCTCCTTCAAAACTCTCGAGGTAGTAATTTGGACCGATTTTCAGCTTCAAGTACACGAAAAACAAAAGAGTGCGCGTATTCACAGATACTAGGAAGGAACCTCGATCACTGTTTTATTTCTGCGTAACAAATTTGTCACCGTATTTAGACCTCACCCTATAACAAACACATCCTACTTATATAATCGGCTAAGTGTGTCTGTTGGTGTGTTTTTGTGTCAGTATGTGTGTGTGTCAGTATGTGTGTGTGTTTGTCTGACCGGAAATTCATAACTCCTGTCCCACTGGACCTGGGGCATTCAAATTTGAAAGAGAGATAGGGGGCAGGATGGGAACACTGATGGCGGATGATAGGAAGTGACAACTATCGACAGAAACTGATAAGGAGCCTTGAATGGCGAAAGCCTCAGGATCCGTAACTACCTTCGCATTGACGGTGAAGCCTTGGCACTTGGTCAGGTGGTTTAGGATGTGAAGGCACCGTTAAAGATTGGTGACAGAGAATGACAACAACTGATAGGGACTGATAGCGAGCCATATAAGGCGAGAACAACTAGGTCTGTAACGTCTTTCGTATGAACGGCGAAGCATTGCCACTTCGATAGGCGTTGTGCGACTGAAGGAACCGCAAATGTTAGGTGACAGGGATTGATAACAACTGATAGAGATTGATAGCGAGCCATATAAGGCGAGAATAACTAGATATGTAACTCTCTTTCTGTTAATCATGGAATCTTGGAACTTTAATAGGTTATGTAAGATGTGACAGGATC